AACAGACAGCAAGAAGGAAACAAATAACAGCGACAAAAGATTTCATCGACAATGACAGAAGTGAAACAGAACTAAAATGATACACTAAATTTTACATAACTAGGCTGGTGGAGAGATTGGAAATGAGACAATCCTAAGTAGTCAAGTGATGCAGATTCTGCAATTACTGCATTTGTGAAACAAAATCACGTCAAAAATAAAGTTCGAACCTATGAACAAATACTAATACGAGCCCGGAAATTGGAGTTCTTGTTCCTCCATCGTACTCCCAACAATGCCCGCCTCTTTTACAATGCCTTTAAAAAAATTGTCGTTAAAGGTTCATCAAAAAGCTGGCATCTCCTCAACAGCAGGGAATGACTTTCAGTTATGAGAAAGACACATACAGAAAATGTATATATTGCATTGTGCTCGCACTCCCACTGTCATCTCTACGATCGAAGCGCTTAAAAAGAACAAAGACTTCCCAAAAGCCTCTTTAACCTGTAATGAGAAGTCCAATGCAAAAACTAGAGCACAGAAATACGTTTTCTAGATTTCATTCAAGTCGAATTTAAGTCATACGATTACTATCGTGTTCGACAAAGCAGGTTGAGACTATCATGATTGGCTTTTCAGAAGCAGAGTAATCAAGAACAATTAAACACAGATCATTAACCTGAATCTCTGCCATGCCGGAGAGGAAAACAAGAAGGTCACCGCGCTCAGAGATGGAATAGGTGTTGTCGATATGTTGAAGCAGTCGAACATAGGGCGCAGGGTCAATCCGCTCCAGCGAGGCAGCCTGCTCGGCCGGAGTCAAAGGGCAGTACTTGAGGGTTATTGGGTACAGACGACCTGGCACCTTTGGTGAATTCAGGCAAATTTAATTACCAGTTGGTGGTCGACCAGTGCAGTAGTTGGATAACCAAATTGGCGGATTCATGCTACATTGACAATTTCTAAGTAATAAGGTGGAGACTTGATATTTCTAAGCATTTACCTCCATGTGGTTGCAAGGGTACGGCATTATTCAGACGCAGTTGGGTTGATGGTTATCTTTTAGTTTTCAGGTTGGCCTTCAAGATGAGTCATGCCGTTTAAAAGGGGCAGACCGGAATACTAACTAGGTGTTTGGTACAACTAAGTAATGCGCATAATACTCCTGTTAGATGGGAGTGACTTTAATCTTGAACGCAGGACGCGAACATAAAGGACCACACACGGGGATGGGAAGAGCAGTCAAGAGACGAGACGAAGGTTTTAGCATAAGCAACGTAACATTGACACAAATCAAGTGATCAATGATAGCAAACATTTGGAATTTCTTAGCAAAGTGAAGAGGTAGAACAGCTTGAAAGAATCGACGGTTGGAAGATAAATTGTGTTTGAGTCTGTGCCTCATTGCAACAAACCCGAAAAAACTGATCACGTAAATGCACCAATGTCTTGATTCGAGGGAGCCGGATGAATTTTACGAAACAGTCAAAAAGGGTAGCATTTTATTCCATTTCAGCTTTTTGAAGCTTTATTAGTCTGTCGTGACACGCGGACATCCGTTGTAACCAATTCCACAAGCAGCTAGTTAAATGAACTGCTGACAAGGACACCCAAAGGTGTCAGTTGGATGCTTAAATAAAAATAAAATAGGACTTGAGGGCAGGGGATAGTGTGACAGCTAAATTTTGGGAAATAAGCAACGCATATCACCTGAACAAGGGAAGGGAGCATTGCCTTTGAGCCCAGAACGATTCGTTATTCTGAACAACAATAGGTTATAAATGTGAGTATGAATGTTTAGGATGATTGCAGACCGACAAACCGCTACAAGCCATCCACACCAAAAATGGAGGCCTCACAACTCATCGGAACCGATCCTGAGCCAAGGTTTTAAACTAGGGTTGAAGCACATGCATTAAGGGGTGAGAGGTATTTTACTTTGACAAACCCTATCAAAAGAGGAAAGATGTGAGTAACAATGCAAACAGATAGTCTCAATACTAGCCGTGGCGGCTAAACCCCCAATCCACTCACATAATTGCTAGGCCCTCTAGCAGCTTGAGGCAATATTTTATTGCAAAGAAGTAGGCGTTTGTGAAAACATTGAGTAGTTTCATCAAAATGTTCTGGAGAAGGGCCAAAATTGGACAGTTAATGACCAAAGTAATTGAACTTGCCTCCAAAATGGGACAGTCGTTGAAGAAACTGGCGAAAAGATTAACGTTGATCGTAGCGGACATCAGCACCAGTCGCACCTCGGGTCGTGCCACCACGAGGCACTTCATTAAACCCAGAAGACAGTCTGTCTGCCAGTGACGTTCGTGTACCTGAATCGTAAAGCGGGAAGGAGAGTAGAAATTGCTCGTTCGCAGAGCATTACTCATTTACAAGCCATTAGATAATAAAATGCAGTCAGAAGCAGTACTGTTTATGCAGTCGCCATCGTTCGATGTAACAAACAGAACTTGTACCTAATCCGATATTTATGGCAAAGACTTAATTGGCCCATGCTGCCTAAATTTCAATAACATTGAGAAGCTGAGTGCATTGACAGCAACCATGGAAATAAATATTTAAGAATTTTGAGCTGTATGCTTACAAACCATCTTAAACTCAAGTCAAATTGATAGGGAAGACACAACGAACACAGTAGGACGGTCAAATACTTAAGCGTCATGCTTGAAGTGCGTTTAGCCCAAGCAAACTGGTTATTGCCCTCTTTCGTAGGCTGCGCAGAAAAGGGCAAATTTTGGCTACGGATACGATCAAAGTGGGCAAATTTAACACTATTTGATACAGTTGTACCCGAATAATGAGCGCATCAAAGTTCAAACGACCATAGCGACTAAACTCGTATAAAGCCTTTGACTGAAAACATTCGAAGCAACACGCATACCTCGTCAAGGATAATAACGTCATATTCCTTGAGGAAGGGATCCGACTGCATCTGACGAAGAAGCAAACCCTCAGTAAGGAAGAGAATCTGCGTAGCCTTCGATTTGTGCCTCTCGAAGCGAACCTGAAACCGGCAAGACGTGTGCGATTGCTCTACGAATCCTCACTGTAAGGGGTTCCCACTTTAGACTTGCAATTTCTATTAAAGCAAATTACTTAGAAAGAGCGTGATGCAACAAAGATGTGAGAAGAGCAAAAAATGTGGACGAGAATGTGACGTAAACAGTTAATTAACTTAAGTACACTTAGCTTACCTATGCTAAAGACGAAAAAAGGAACTTTCCTTTTAACTAAAATTTTCGGGCGCAAAATTGACCTAAATAACTAGCCAGACTTCGCCAAAAGGCTAAAGAAAAGTGGGACTAATTTTGAGGCTGAGTCGAATACTTTCGACGAAAGCTAGCAATATAGAAGCAAATGTGTTCCACACTTACGTTTGCCATAATTACCAAAATAAACCCAATTAAAGAAAACAAGTGTAAAGAACTTTCATTTAAAAAAATTGCAAACAGTAATTACTACTTAGTAAAATCTGTAGTATTTACAAACTTAAGAAATAGATTATCGGCCGATTGTTTACAAAATGCATAAAAGCAAGAGCAAGTAAGTGGCTGAACATGTAGAATGCCTTACTTGGTAGCCCACTTTTGTGCCCTTCTCCGCCAGCATCTCGGTACTCACACGCGCAGCCAAACTAATGCATGCAATTTTTCGCGGTTGCGTGACAGCAATACGTTTGTAAAGAACCTCTTCTCCCATTTTCTTCGCACCCGCTAGGTACTGTGGCACCTGAGTCGACTTTCCACAGCCTGTATCCCCAGCAATAACTAGCACCTGTTGTCGCACCAACTCACTTAACAGAGACTCATGAAATCTTGCAATTGGGAGGTTGTCGCGATCGTGACGTAGGCGCTTTATTTTAGCCCACTAGAAGAATTAGTGAGGTTGCATAACAGCCTACTCTCTGCTTCATTAGAAAGTCAAGGTAAATATCGTAAATAAGATGCATGGCGAGAAGGTTCCGGTCGGAGAGACTAGAGTGCCGATGGGGGGTGTCGTCAGCCATTCGATGGCGCATATAGTCCTCCAAACGGTAGTTACGTGTCTGTAGGTTGAGACGTAGTACTCGGTCATAACGGTCGCTACCGTGGTTGAAATCTAGAATCAATAAATCTCCATAGAGGAAGAAAATTCAACGCAAACCTGACCAGTTGGATTGATTTAGCAGAAAGGATTGGAGTTTTCCTGCAAAATTCCAGAACTCCCGGAAGTCGGATGAATCCCTGAAAAGAAGAGCATAACTGCGTTGGAGAAAGGACACTAACCGTTGAATCGGAGCTCGAGAAGAGTTGGGAAAGAAGAGGTCGGTAAGCCGTCTTTTGTGGGACTGAATGTCGAAGTCAAAGTCTTTGGTGGACAACCTTTTCCCATTATAGGTGGACATTCTCTAAACAGAAAAACGGGACAAATGAGTACCGATTCGACTAGTCATTGTGATAGCAAAAAAGCATGAATTTATAACCTTAATACCGACTTCGATTATGAATTAGGTCAACCTTATCTACCGATGAGAACTAAATAAAGCATCAAAGCCACGAAACAGATCGTGTAAAATGGATTCAATCGAAGACAAAATCGAGTCTAACTATAAGTTTACATTTTTTTAGTTGGTAAAAGGAACTTGCGCTAACGTGAAGCAGAAGAATAAACTAGTTGGACTTGTGACTGCCAAGCGTCACCAATCACAATGAAAATGAAAGACTGATTCATGCTACCAGAAGTTTGCAAAGCTTTGCCAATTAATTCAAAACGCGCAATAAATTTCACAAACAGTTCGCGCAATTCTTACAAGCAAAATGCTCGAGTAAAAGTTTTAAGGTCGAACTTGATGGTAGAAATTACACGTTGAAGCCATACGATCATCTATTGGTTGCAGTTACTGCTAGCGCGTTTGCAGGCAAAGATTGATAGTCGACCAAGCATTAAAAAGAACTTCTATGCACACAGCCAGGTCCACTGTAGAATACTCAGGAAATGCACGTCCACTGTTTGTTTGACCTACTACTTTAGTTGGGTGCCTTTGATTGCTCATTTGGCCTGTGCCGAGTAAGCAAGAATTTGAGCCATGTGTGTAGCCTAATTCTTCCTATTCTTTAAGCACATGTAACTTTTCCCTTGTCTATACTCCAATTCTCTCTAAGGGGCTCGCAGAGCCCTTTATTCCTTGGTTTTATTTTGACTGTGCGTAGTGTCTTTAAACACTTAGTGTTAAGGCCGTTAATTCTATTAAGCTTTTCTCGCAAAACAGTGTTCGAAGTTTTTGCTATTATTTAAAAATTGATTGTTAACCGCTAAATTAAGGGGCTCTTATGCACTCTCAGCAGTTACAGTCACTCCAACAAACAGTTTTAGTCATTTTGCAATATAGGCGAGAGACGCGAAAACAAAAAAAGCTCCAGGTCGAAGAAGCAGTGCTTTGCTTATTTTAATTCGTATGTGAGTTGCGATCACTTAGGCGCCCATTCCGCGCCGTCCAGGTGGGCTGATCTTCGCATTATGCCGTAGAACTACGCATATAACACATGATGTCTAAAGGTTACTTAAAGTACATATGTGTAGCTTCACCTGATAACTTATTATAGCCTGTGGGATGCCCTGCAACTTCACAATGTATATCAATTGTTTCTGCATAGGTGTGTTTTTAACCTGGCCTTGTGAGCTCTAATAAACAATTAGAAGTCAGGTATTTAGGGAGGATAAGGAGGATGGTCTTATACGTTTTACTCAATATGGCTAATAAGATCTCTGTTAATGAGCTGTCTCTTTATTTCGCATGTAGCAGTGGGTCTTTCCAATTACGCTCCTGCTTGTTGTTAGGTAGGGCAGATTAAGGAGGAACGAAGTAGTGTAAAAGTAGTGGGATGCCGTACAGCGCGAAGACATCCAAGCCTTATACACACTAGCTTTTACAAGTGTAGCGTCGCGAAGCTTCCCATAGTCTAAAAAAGGCCCGAGGGCCAGCCCACGTGTACAAGGGTCAGAAAATTCATAAAGTGATCGCCAAACATCAGGTAGCCACATAAACAAAGTGTTAAAGCAATCCGTCTTCATCACTGAAGGCGTATTTTACTGATAGCATACACAGCTTTTTTTCTTGAATTGGCTTTGCTAAACATCAAACTAATAGAAGTAGAAGGTCTCTATAAACTTAACCTTTTAGGAATTATCCGTTATATTGGAGATTAAATATTTGCACAGAAAATATCAAAAATGTCTTGATTTCATTAAGTTGTAAATAGTGGTAATTTGTTAGAGTTAATCAATTCGGCACAAGTTTGATCCCGCGATTCATACGCTTGAGCCAATTAGTTTAGTACTAGTTTGCGGCATGAATAAGTTGAAGTCTTTCAAGAAAGGTATCGAAGATGTTCGTCAGGGCAATGAGACAGCACTGGAAGCTAGCAAAAAAGAACTCACGTCTATTCCTGAACTTCCGGAGCTGGGTATGAATTTCTGATTTTTCTATATGGGGAATTAGCCACACTCACGTTTTTGAAGTCTTTAACCCTGTCCCACAATAAGATCCAAGGTAGGTCTGCCGTATTTAGCGTCAGCTTTTGTAGAAGTTCCGGATGATATCGTCAGTCTCCAGCACTTGGAGCACTTAAACTTGTTTAATAATTGGATAGCAGTATGAAATTTTAATTTTGCACACTTTAGGTAATCACCCCCAAAATATCAGAGTTGAGGGGACTTCGTTCTCTCATACTTGGAATGAATAGGCTAGACGCTCTTCCTAGAGGGTTTGGTGCATTTCCTGCGCTTGAAGTTCTTGACTTAACATATAACAATCTGGCAACTCTTCCCGATAATTTCTTTAATTTGGGCACGTTGCGGGCGCTTTACTTGTCTGACAATAATTTTGAGCAGCTTCCGGCAGGAATTGGGAACTTATCAAACCTAGAGATTGTACGTTAAGTCTTTGTTTTGAAGTAGTTTTCTTAGCTTGCTTTGAGGGACAACGACCTCATCTACCTCCCTCCTGAAATTGGTAAACTGACAAGGCTGAAGGAACTTCATATTCAAGGAAATCGATTAACTGTGTTGCCTCCAGAACTAGGTACTTATTGATTATCGATGTCATCGGTTTTATGCTTTCTGTTCCATATTTACTACAATTTCTACCGCCTAAGTAGTTTTACAATGTTACTGAGGTTTTGTCAAATGATTGTTTCAGGAAATCTTGATCTGACGGGTCCGAAGCAGGTTGCCAAGCTAAGTGGAAATTATTGGGTTTCTCCCATCGAAGATCAACTTCAAGTCGGGTTATCCCACGTTTTTGACTACATTCGATCAGAAACCTACAAGTTGTTAGTTTGCTCCGTCTTACATATTTTATTGACATGAATTGAAATTGTCTCTGACAGATGAATTCGTAGTACATTTTGGAGGCTCGGATTCATCATTAGCTTGCTGAAGATGACACAGAATTTATTAGAACTTTATTCCGATATTTTAGTTGCTCATATAGCGCTCCGTTGAAGGTGACAGTTCAGAGGGTGAATTTTTTCGTTTTTCTTTTATAGCCTTCATGACAGGCATTTAACGATGGATCCACCAGTACCACCAAAAGCCGACAGATCGAAGAAGATAAGTCGGAAGCGCTGAATATTCTCCCAAGTAGATACTTATCAAGCTTCAAAGTATCAATAATTTGCTTTTGGTTTAATCAATCCTCCTCATTTAACTCGAATTACTCGACTCGATCGCTTTACTCATCATCTTGGATGCTGTTTTAGTAGACAATCTATCTGCTGTTTTATAAAATGTGCTCAGTTCTGATACCAGCTTAGTTCTAATGTACTTTGTGATTCCTGATTGAATTTGATTGTTTTCCCCAACCAACATTCAATTTCTTGAATGCACTGCACAGAATCCGGTTTTCGGTGGCCTAGTTGCTTTGTCCTTTTTGTAGCGATCTGATTAATAACTGAAGTGTAAAGATTATATCCTTCGGCGTGTTTTCTTAGTTTACCTGCTGGGTGCGAGTTTGACTACGAATTTGACCACAAGTTTCGTATCGCCTACATTTTTGCCGTGGTTGTAGCAACTTCGATCTAGCTATCCCTCGAATCCTAACAACCTTTTTTTATCGACAATTTGCGCTTACTGGTGAAGTCCAATTTAATGGCAGTTCCGAAGCAAGGGAATGTAACTACAATTGTTCAATGCATTGGTCGAGACATGATTATGCATTTTTTTGGTTTACGGGTAGGGCAGGATGGATTGCTGCATTCTGCATCCACTGCATTTATAACCTTAGGTATGTGGCATTCATGATGGCAAACTGATGGGTCTCAATAACAGCTGATACCAGTGCTAAATTACCACTTCCTTGTAGGAAACATTATTCAAAGGGCATTTTTCATGATTCTAGAACTACCAATGCTGCATCTGTAACTCGGAAAGGTAAGAATGCCTTTAGGTTGTGCAATTAAGTCGTCACTTGCTGAGCTGCCTAAAGCCGGGCATTGACTTCAAGGGATTGCTCTGTATTGGTGGCAGTTACAATCCTGCCAATGCACAGAATCCTTTTAGGCCTATGTAGGTGCCTTTTTAGATCCACGCTTATCCTGATCGCTGGAGATGGCAGGGGCAACGGCAGTGGTGGCACTAGGGTAGTTCCAGGCCTCCGATTTTTGTGTTGATCTGATTGAAAGCAGACTTTCTTTTCGGAACTCCGTCAGCATCGAGGGATCCACGATTGACCAATCATTTAGGGTATCCTGCGAAGAATTACAAGGAAGAAACATCATTAATTTGCACAAATACAATTATGAGTAGTTGAAGTAACATGAACTTCTGAAGCACAGTTCGGCTTTTTGTTGGTACGTGACAATCCATTATAGTTAAAGTCCACCTCTTTCAATACCAGTCTTTCATATACTGTAATTATCATTTAATAGCATCCCAACCTCTCAGGCTGGAGCATAGACAGCTTTAGAAAAGACGGCTTAGACAATGCTCCGGCCATGCGCGCTATTCATAACAATTGGGCCAAAAAAATTGCCTTCTTTGCCAGCAGCCAGCAAACCTGATCATTTCTAAGCATTTGAATACACTGAATAAAAAAATTCACAGCCACCAAGTACTGGTAAGGAAATTTTAAAAGGAAAAGGCTAAGGACAAATCCTCCTCTCGGTTTTGTGGGAACATGAGTTCATTTCCATTGCACTATCTTTTCTCGGCATGACAGTAGCCTCTTCTTTATGCTGGTAATACACCTTTTCCAGCGGTAGTATCACTGCTTTCACCTTCAGGAAGACAGTGATGACGGTGGAAGATGAACTTTCTCCTAAGTTACAGATACTTTGATTGATGACCCCAAATGTGACGGTAAAAAAGTGACGTTCATATTTGACAACCAGCTTATTCTCCTATTCTGTATGAGTGATATCAATAAATGAAGTAGTATCACCACCTGTAAAGGCTATTGTTGGGGGTATCTATGGTGCCTATTTGAATATGTCAATCGAATGAGCACACTGCGCCTCCGCCTCTCTCACAAAAGGTATCTGTGTTGTTGCAGTCAGAAGATTGTCTCCTAAATTTCACGCAAGTTCGGTAGCTAGCGCTGTTAGTTGATGAGCACTTTTCTTACAGTGGTATGCTGATCGAGGTATGAGGTTAACCAACAGGGGCACTGGGATATCGCTCAAAGAGGAGATACACAGTGATTTGATTTCCCGGCTCTACTGTGCCTCTGTACGATGATGTGTTACCTCAAAACTCCTGTGCAACGGCAGTAAACATGCTGCCCTTACACATGTGCTCTCTCGTCTTTAGTGAGGATCAAGAAAGCTGTAGTCACATCGACATCAATTTGATCGAAAGGTGGTAAGACAGTTTAAGAAGAGCAGCTGTGACACTGAAACTATCCTTTAACCTTATAAGCATTTAGGTCAGGAAATCTCGGGCAAAACTTCAATTACTGTGACAAGATCCAACTAGATTACTCAGAATGCAATGAATGAAAAAGGATGTTAAATCCTGTCTCCACCTTTTTTAACTCCTGTTTGACAAAACGGGCAAATATTTACTAACGTAGTAAATAAAGTCAGACTCTATATATTCAGAAACTATGTTGGGGTGCCGTTTCAATCAGGAAAAAGTTTCATTTTAAGAAGCATCAAGCAAAACAATAAAAGCACTCTGTTAGCATTGGAATTCAGTTAGTTCAGTTCTGCAACAAAATCCAGGTTAGCAGATTTAAAGATGCAAATTTAACTGGATTACGTGTTACAAGAAAATTTAATGGGTTTTTATTACACAAAACTGAGTGATAGTGTTTGGATTTATTAACGAAACCTCGTCTTCTGATGTGCAGATTTTGGGGCACTTTAATGCATATGGAATAATGACAGTCGCCCAATAAGCTCTAGTTCATAGAGCAACAACAAAATGAGTTCCCTTGAGTATATGTAAAGGCACTCAAGAAGAATAGCATTTTTTTTCAGCTTACCAGTATGCACTTTTCAATCGCCTGCATTTTATTGGAATCCATGGTGATATCCTGACATATCTCGAAGCACCCCATGGGACTTGTGGTTACGGGAAAAGAAAAGGCCAGCCCAGCTGGGACGCGGTAGTGGCCTGAGCGATTGAAAAAATACCTACAGACTGGATACTTAAAATTGTTTTTTGAACTACAGCGTAATTCGGATATAAAAATAGTTAATGGTTTCAAGCAATGAATTAGGTTTACCTGCA